CTCCCTACTGCCGTTAAAACTGAATCCTGATTCCTTATCTTTTCTAATCTTTCTACTCACCTACATTTCCCATACAAGTGAAGACCCACCTACAAGGCACCTCAGTGCACATGAACTCACCTGAATGCATCTCTCACATTCCTTGTCTTGGTGCTTTCACTCACTAGCCCCCTTATCTATAACTTTGCTTGTCATCTCTCCTTACCCTAATACTTGCAGACATAATGGTAGGAGGAGGAGGAAGTGACCCCTAACATCTCACTGGTGGGAATGTAAAGTGGTACAACCACCTTAGAAAACAGTGTGACAGTGTTTTTTTAAAAAAGTTAAACATATGCCACAGCAATTCTACTCCTAGGTAGTCACCCAAGAAAAATAAAAACATATGCTCACACAAAGACTTCACAGAAGCATTATTCATAAAAACCTAAAATGGAAATAATCCACAAGTCTATCTGCTAGTGAATAGAAAAGCAAACATGGCATAGCCATTCAATGGGATAGTATTCAGCAACAGAAATGAGCTAACCACTCATTCATGCTACAACAAAGAGGTACCTCAAAAACATGATAAGTGAAAGAAGCCAGATAAAAACAACCACACACTGAATAATTCCATTTACATAAAATGTTCAAAAAAGGCAAATCAGCACAAGCAGAAAGTTGATTTGTAGTTGCTGGGGGCTGGTAATGGAAACAGGGATTAACTACAAATGGGTATAGATCTTCTCAGAATGACAGAAATATTCTAAAATTTAATTGTAGTGATAATTACTTAAGTCTGTAGATTTTTCTAAAAACCAGTAAATTTTATGGTGTGTAAATTTTATAAATTATACCTCAATAAGGCTCTTAAAAAAAAAAATCTTGCCTTGGATGATGTGGCTCAGTGGATTGAGTGCTAGCCTATGAACTGAAATGTCATTGGTTCGATTCCCAGTCAGGGCACACACATGGGTTGTAGGCCAAGTCCCCAGCTGGAGACGTGTGAGAGGCAACAGATCGATGTATCTCTCACACATTGATGTTTCTCTCCCTCTCTTTCTCCCTCCCTTCCCCTCTCTCTAAAAGTAAATAAATAAAATCTTAAAAAAGAAAAAAAGACCTCACCAGATACACAGCCATTTACCGGGGCCCTCAAGTGTCCCACACTGTTAAAGGCATGAGAGATTATAAGGCTCACAGGGTAGAGAGGCAGCCATGCTCTGCCATTTATCTGTGTTCTGGGGTACCAGGCAGGGTCTTCCACACAGAGAAAAACAGAGCAACCGCTACTAGGCTCACCACTGTCCCATTCACCTGAGAGTATCAGCTGGCAAAGAACTGAGATGTCCACAGCTTAGGGTTAAGTGCAGGCACCATAGGTGGCATGGAGTATTCTACCCACAGCAAATCCCTGACCTGGTCTGTCCCCACCGGGCCCAGGTTAAACATGGCAGACATTCTGAAAATAGGGTTTCAGGAAGAACTGTATGAACAAATTAACAGTCAGTCTCATTTTGACCACCTAAAGATCTTGTGTGCCTCAAGAAAGAGGAAAAAGGGAGAAGAAAGGAAGAGTAGAGAATCTGTTGAAATTTACTGAATTCACACAAAAATTAGAAAGTCTGCTAAGCTAATTGCTAACACAGCAGATATTTCAAAGGCAGTGTTACGTCTATTAGGAAACACCTACTGATATCTAAGAGTAGCTATTTCAAGTGTAATTCATTCTTAGTCATTAGAGGAAGCCAATGAGATTTCAAATTGCAGCAAATTGTAAACCTACAATTGTGTTTCCTCACTTATTTTAACTTAGTTATGACTGAATTTCTTTATAAAGATGAGGTACTGTTAACTATACTAAGTGCTGTAAACGATATACTAAGAAGTGATGTCTTCTACCATATTCATTGAGGTGCTCAATTTTAATCTTGCAAATCTGAATTCAATAAACTGATATCTGATCTTGGAGTAATGATGTCTAAATTTGCACGTCCCATGCCAGCCACTACGCTCTAACCATCTGTAATCTAGACCTCATTATTTGGAGACTGATGAATGACTGAAGGGCCCCAACCCTTTTATTAAAATCATTTATTCAAATCACCTCATGAGTAAAACGGGTGAAATTTTGGAAACAAAAAATGAGAACTTTCTAAGCATTTTCCATCCCACATTACATTCAAATAACAGGCTAATTATAAAAAACTTATCATTAAAAACCAATACAGTTAATTTGAAAGTATTGAAAATGGTTTCTTTTCATCACATCCTATAATTTCTGATGAATTTTAATTAACTTGGGTAGAACAACCTCTTTTCATATCCTTCACAACAGCAACTCTCAATCTTTTTGATCTCATGACCCTTTCCACTCTTAAAAGTTTACTGACAACCCGAAAAAGCTTTTGTTCCCATTGGTTATATCTATCTCTATTTTCTCTATTGGAAATGTAAACTGAAAAAAATTTAAATATTTATTACCTAAATAAAAAATAAGCTCACTACATGTTAACATACATTTTAAAAATATTAGACATACCTATATCTAAAAGTTAGTGACCAGGGTAGTGCTGTTTTACATTTTGCAAACCTATTTAATGTATGAATTAATGGAAAACATTTAGATTCTCATACTTGCTTCTACATTCAATTTGTCACGACATGCTCCTTTGTTTAAAGTATATGAAGAAAATCCAACCTCACATAAATATGTAACTGGAAAAATGAAAAATATTTTAGTATACTTATCAGATCATTGTGGTCATTTTTCTTTGATACTGCAACAAAACTTGACAAATCATAGTTTCTGAAAGGCTAGCAGCAATGTAGAATCTGAAACCATATCAATAAACTTACTCTGTTACATTAAAATCCAATGGTTTATCTTGTACAATATCAAAAAATCACATTGGTTAATATGACTGTGGACCTCATCAGAAAAGTCTTTCAAGTACTGGGGAAGCTGTCAAGTTTACCGAGGTAGATAGAAATTCTGCAAAATTCTCACTTTTACTTGATAGCTGGAATTTTATCTTTGGTAACAAATATTGGCAGCTGTTCTCCTGGATGTGGCTGGCAGGCTCATGGCATTTGTTTTCAGTGCGTACTCCAGGTTCAAGATGAGGTAACATTCAAAACGAACTTTTTTGGTATGATTAGTTCATTCTTTTTTTGTTAACTGTGTGTGCATGCCAGCCTGATGGGGCTAAGGCTTCAGCGGTTTTACCCTACTGTTTCTGAATGACCAGAGTATGCAAAAGAGCAGAGTGCAAAAGGCAAATAATGTTACAATGTCATAATGAAAATAGTTTTGACCTTGTCCATCCACTGAAAGGATACTGAAGAACCCCCCTGGGGTCTGCAGGCCACACTTTGGAAACTGCTGTGTTATCATATAACTGACCCCCCAACACCATTCAAATCACTAAGTGGCAGCCACACATTTAGAAAGGGAAAAGACTATTGCTTGTTCACATCATCTACATGCATTACTCATCCCAAGAATATTAATGTAAGTAAAAGACTACTTCTACAATTCAAATTCAATTCAAAAGCATGAAAAATGAAAGCTAGAGGCCATGCAAGGATAATAAAAACTGAAAAAACTAAATTTAATATGTGAACTTCCCTCCAAGGAATTTAAAACATAAATTTTTCCTTATTTCATCCACTTGTTTCTCCATGTGTTGGGCTCTGTAGTGCTGGAGATACGGAGAGTCCTCTGTTGATGGACTGTGGCCAGGGTCCACAGGGTGTGAAGCAGCCAGGAGACAGCAGAGCCACTGAAGTCCAACTCATCCATTTTTAAGACCCAAGTTCCCACCCTGCAAATACAGCCTGTCCTTTGTAATCTCTAACTCTTTGTTTTCTTGGTTGAATAAGAGGCAAATTCCACTTAACACTGTGACGGCTGGATGAGACACATGTAAAGCATTAGCGCAGCTCCCAGCCCACAGCAGGTATTCAATAAATGGTAGCCACTATTATGAATAAGGTCCCCTGGAGGCAGTCGGGAGTCCAGAGAGGAGAGGAACACACATCCAAATAATTATGACACAGCATGGGAACTGATTAACTACAAAGTGTGACGGGAGTAAAAGGAAAATCAATGGTCTGCCTACGTGAGGAAGGTGTTATAATGAATGAGCCACCATTGCAAAGGAGAAAAGAACTGGCCCGAGGGAGGAGGAGGAGAAGGGAAAAGTGCATCCAAATACACACTAAGGCTGGGCACAGGGCAGGCGGCAAAGGAAACACCCCAGAACCAGCTCACTTAGAGCCTTTGATGCCATGCTAAGGAGCACTAACGCTTGAAGCTATTTTCTTTTTATTCTTCTAAAGACTAAGGAATTATAAACACCCAGCGCTAGCAGGTCCCCCTGGCCTCCCAATCCACACACACTATGCTTATGGCTGCTTTAACATCTCTGACCTGTCAGCAGTGCCCTGGTCCAAGCTTGTCTAGTGGAGAAGGAAGAGCAGAGCTCCGCCCAGAGGCTGTGGGACATCAGCAAGCCCCAGCAGCAGGCGGAATCTGCACTTATGTTTTAAAGCACAAATGAGGCCACACTGGGCAAAGCTATGTTGTCTTCTCTCAGCCGCTTAGGAAATCTTGAAGCATGTGATTTTCTCTTCATCCCAGCCCCACCTCTGCCTCAGGTCCTATGCTCCAGTAGAATTCATAGGTTGCTTTGCTTAAGGGAGTGAGAAGAAAGAGAAAGAGGGTCTAGTGCCCATGTTTTCCATTTGACTCCATCCATCTGTGAAGCCTCTTGTCATTGCATGAGTGAGCCCTGAAGCCCAAAGAGGCCACCCATCTCTTGCTCTTTGTCAGGGTACCACAGGCCAGCATGAGCACAGCACACAGTTGTGAGTCTGTGACCCACGGCAATCCTGCAGGTGCACACCAGCGTGCAGTTGGCGTGAGTCCTCGGCCGCCGTGCTGGTCCACTCTCACGTACGGGACTCGATCATTCACACAAAAACCACTGAAGTCACAGCAACATCTTACTCACCCAGAATTTTACGAGGAAGAAGGCATTTTGAGGGCCCTTTCCAAACAGTTCCTTTAAGCCACCTTTCTTTTCAGGAAATTTGTCATAAATCTGACGAATGTCCACTGATTCGAGCAATGGGTCACTGTAAGAATGGTTGGCATGCCCAATGTGCACGAAGAGGTGTTTGTTGTACTGTAAGAAATCAACAGAAACATTCCCATTACAAACCCTTTGATCAACCCAGGACACACCCATCTTGAGTTGGATAACGGGCAAGCACTCTTAAAATCCCAGAATTAGGCTTTGAATGGCCAAGGGTCTATGCCTTTGAAAAGGTGAAGATGTTAAGAGAAGCCATTATAGTTTGGGGTAAAATAGTCTTTGTCTTTTTTTAAAAAAAGTTAAAGTACATATTCAATAATATATTATTTTCAAGTATACAACATAGTGAAATAGTCATTGTGTTTTATTGACAGAGGTATATTTTTCCAAATGTCTAAAAAAGGCTTTTTGTAGACACAGTAGTAAACAACAGCTTAAGTTACCCAAGTACCAAACTAAGAATCAATTCTATTACCCAGTTTCACAAGATTCAACTGAAAATGACACTGACAGCGGCATCCTTTGGAGTCTGTTATTTATGGTGTAAACACAATAAAAAGTATGCGTGTAATTAGTTAACAACATCACCCAGAAAGCACTTCTCACTGCAGCTCCCCTAGCAACAGCATGGGTGCAGCTCTCTGAGTAATGGTACCTGCCTACTTCTCCCAGCACGAGTAAGAGTGTTGAGCTTCTTGCTCACCAGCCCCCTTAGTAACCAATCTAAAACTTCTGTGTAAGGGCCATTCAGTCTGTGGGTGTCAGTGCAAACTTAGGGTCAGGGGAGAGGATTCATGGTATAAGGTTATGAGAGGCTGGTAAAAAGGAATACCAGTTACCCATTCACACACAGAAAAGAAAGAAACAAAAACCCTATTAAGACATTTACCTTACAACAGAAAACCTTTCTTGTCCTCGCTTTGGTGTAAGATATGGCAACCAGACCATAAAGGAGAAAGCCCAAACCAATGATTCTCACCCAGGTTGCAGCAGAATTACCAAGATGCCTGGGCTCCACCCAGACTAAACTGGAATCCCTGAGAATGAGGTCAGAAATTAGTAATTTTTAATATTCCTTACGTCAACTCCCATATGCACCTAAGTTTGAAAACCACTGGCCCAGACTCTCTACTTTAGACCCTCCCTGCCTGCCTTTCCCTTTGAACAGGCTGGAACACCAACCCAACATGACACCGACAAGGTCATCTGTAGGTGCAGGGGTTCCAGGCAGCTCAGAACACAACAGGGTTCATCAGAGAAACCCCGTATCTCTATTCACCTTGCAGTCCCTATTCACTTTTTGAGTTTAAATTGGCATTTCTCCAACTGAAGTCTTTTCAAGTGCTGATCCCATAGGAAATAAGAGGCCCCAAATAAAAGAGGGATTGGTCACAGCTGCCTACCAAGACTGCAAATTAGCTATGACACTGGGCAAGTGCTTCCCCAGCCTCTAAAGTGGGGACAGGGATGACATCTACTTCACAGGGTTGCTAGAGAATTTAAATGAGACGCTGCTGACAGGGCTGTCCGTCCAATCCTTTGGCGTCTCTGCGCCACACTAGAAAAAGAGTTGTCTTAGGCCACACATTGAATACATCATGACAGGTAATCAGACACACTAAAAATCTCAAACTTTTTTTATAAATTTACAGTTTTGTGTTGGGCCGCAGGTTGGACACCCCTGGCAAAGATCCAATAACGAGGAAACACTCAATAGAGGCTAGCTATTACGATTTTTTATAAAAGTTCCTTCTTTGAGATTCACAGCAAATATAAGCCTATTAAAAGCACTACAGTAAAGAAACATTTTTTAACCTTGTATAACCCAAAGTGTCCCAAACTCATTTGATCACAAAGCCCTGTAAGAATATTCTGAGGAAGTGCTGGTTCAAATCTGTGACCTGCTACCCATACCATGGACTTCTGGCCACAACACCAGAGGGCAAGAGGCCTGACCCCCCATCCAGTGCCAGCTGTCCACAGTGTTGCACACAGGGCGCCTGTTGCCAGGGTCCGGCATCTTCTGGGAGAAGGCTAAGTCCCTTTCCTGTTCGACTGTGGCGAGATTTTTAACAAAGCCTTCAAAATTTCTAAAAGGTCCCAGGTGAAATGTAAAAGAAAAGGAACCTATCAAACTGTGACATGGTCCCAGCCTCTGTTTCTTCTAGTAACCTGGTGACATTCAGGTCGTATTGAGACCTGGAAACCAGAATGAAAGAATAGAGTGTACCTGTGCTGGAAGAGAAATGAAAAAAAGAATTTCAAATACAGTAAAAGTCATTGCTGTGTTAGGAAGATAAGGCTATGGGGTAGGGCGGAGCGCCTTTGATCTTTTTGTACATTTTCTCCTCTGCTATCACATCATCTTTTCAATTACAAGCACACAGAAGCCCACAGAAATGTATAAAGCACTACTGGTGGGGAGCTCCCAGGCTCATCAGTGGGTAAAAGGAGCAAAAATAACACAGGCAAAGCTCGGGGCACAGCCTGCGGGGTAGAGGTGAAGAGAGGTGAGTGGGTGGATGAGGGTGCTGCTCCCTGCCTCGCTACCCTGCCGCTCTCTGGCTGCCCCTTACAGGAGCTGAGGCCACCTGTGTGTCCACTCACCCGACCCGCATTAGTCACCTCTGCCCAGAGCGAGCTCCATTCCTGTCATTACCTGTGCCGCCTGCAGGCAGGGAGCCCACGGGGAAGCGTGGAACACAAGCAGAGGCTCAGGGACACCTGTGCACAGGACCTGAGTCTCTCAGTTGAGCACCATCCTCTCAGCCCTTCTGCCTGGCCAGTCCTGATGTGCCAGGGCAGAGCCAGAGTGGAGTTAAGAAGCTGTGAGACTCAGTCTTTTTACCGCTGACATTGACCGCCCCAGCACTGTACTTCTGGAACTCAGGGATGACAGCCCAGACTGCTACATGCCAAGAGGTCAGGAAGGTGAATGGAGGGGAAAATTCACTGGGGGCCCGGAAGATACAGCTGAAAAGCAAGGTGTTGAGCACGATGCATGAAAATGCTAGAGCCACACAAGAACCTGAAGCCTCAGTTTTCTCCTATGTACAATGGGGATATAATACCTGTAAGAACAGGTTTGAGGATGAAAGGAAATAATGCACAGAGGGGCTTGGCATAGGGCCTAGCATATAAGGGTTCGATAATCGTAGCTGCTAAGATTACTGCTGTGTTAGTTTATTATTATGTGAGATTAACTAGATCCTGGGGTAGAAGCACAAAAATGTTCCTACTTCAGCAATCCCTCCTGCCTAGCAAAGAAAAAATAAACACAAGTAAGCCCAAACTGGGAGCAGGCTCTGAAGCCCTGTGACCGTACAGCTCCTAGATTATGGCGGGGCGGGCCTCTCACCTGTGCCTGAAGGAAGGCAAAGAACTTGTGTCCATTCAGGGTTTTGTGTAATCTGCTTTCTATATATGTGACCTCAGGTGCTCCTGGCCTCACAATGACACCGTAGGTGGATTTTATTAAAATCACTTTACAGATGAGGAAATAGAAGCTTAGGGATGAACAGACTTCCCTGAGGTCACACTTCCGGGAATAGTCCTGGAGTTAAGAATAAAACTTGGATCTGACAACGCCACCGCCCATGCATTTGCTGCACAGACCAACCACACAGCCTCCCAGACGAAAATGTGGGGCCCTTCTAATGCAGATCTACATTTTTTGAAAGTCGATTTCAGGAAAAAGAACCTAAGTAGTGTTTTTAAAATTCTAAGATGTTAAATTAAAATTTGGGAGAAACGTAATGATTCACAGATGCATTAGATAGAGTCTTCAAAGGTTTCTATTTTGAGGAAATTACCTTTGTGCGCAAGTGGCTGAAATGAACTGAGAAGGGGCAGGCTGTTCCTGCCAAGGGAAATCGGGCACTGCCTCTCCAAGGCTGGTGACTTGAAACCAAACACTGACTGTTGGCATCTGAGCGGCTTTCTTCCTGCCAAGAGGTGACTTTGTTGCTAAGAATACAGAGGACTGAAGAAAGCGTCCTGGAGGCCACAGCAGTGAGACAAGCAGACCTCCTTCTCCCTTTACTTCAACTTGGGTAGGTCAGGAGTCCCTTTGCCCCCAAATCCACGGGGCTGAGGACAAGAAATCTATCCGACAGGTTTAGGTTCCAGTTTTGATGAAACTAGAACTCTAAAAACCATCTGGTGAGGCTACTAATTCCCATCTTGCCAGTTCTCCTTAAAAGGGAAGATGGCCAGAGTAGGTACTTCCTTCCCTTTCTCTTTCCCTCCTTCCTTCCCCAATAAATCCCATTTTCCTTCCAGCAGTGTGCTTCCAAAACTAAAGGTGAAACACAAAACCAAAAAAAGGGTAATTCTATTCTGTAAGGCAGAAAACAAATATTTGGGGGGGAAAAAAAACAACCAACCAAAACCCCAAGTATTTGGGGGTAATATATAAGCAGAAACAGGGTGAATGTCAATGAGTCATATACACCAAAGCCTAAAACTAAATCTCCTTGATATCTAAAATAAAGATTAACATTGGCTTGTTCAATGACCAAAAATAAAGTCTCCTAGGCACTTGGTAGATATGTTGATTATCAACACATCAAAGGCATCAACAGCTAATGTACTCATTCTGTACATTTCCTTTATGGATTTCAATAGAACAAACCAACATACCTGCTGTCCATTATACGCTAGGCACTGTGCTAAACACAGGGAGCCGATAATGCAAAGTTCCTCTCTTCACAGACTCTACAGTAGAACGGCTATACAGAACTAGCTTGCTGTCTCTACAGCCAATCATATGTTGCCCATATAAACACGTGTCCTCAAAGGTTCCTAGAGAAAAGACTGGGGTCGAAGACAGTCAGCATCCCCACTCTTGCACATCACATGACGTAAATCAGATAAGTTTATTCTCTAGCATAAACATGCAGTGTCACTCATTAGCAAGGAGAACGTCTCTAAGGCAAAACCATGACAAAAACGAAGTTATCCATCATATATCAGGGTACAAGACATGCTCATATCTGTAAGGTTTCAGAAAATTGGCCTTCCTTGTAACTACTCTCAGGTACTACAGGGGGATAGATTCCTATGAAATGCAGTAAATCAAAACAGAGGGA